ATTTCATCACAGTATGGTAAGGGGCGTAACATCGTAACATTTCCGTCACACGCTTGAGGTATTCGGCCAATCACAACGCACTGGATAGCTGGCCAATCACAGCACACCTTGCTTTTCAGACCGATGAGCTTTGTAAAAATCGACGCGTTTCAGAAAGGCGGGGCATAGAGGAGAAACAATAATGTACAGTATGTGGAAAATAATGTGTTTTTTGAAACTTAAACCGCATAAACACATTTCATTACACCAAATAATGTTATTTTTTAGCAACATCATATGACCCCTTTAAGCAATGAGAATATATTTGTTGTTACTCATAACTGAACTGCCCGCGTGTGACCACCAGACAGCAGCAGCGTATCAGACAAATTTCCCTTGTAAATCATCTAAAAATGATCTTAACAACAGCGACATCAGTAGAAGTGATAGGTTTATGAGGTCGGAGAATTGAGGAAAGAAAACCACAACAGCCACAGTATTAAAACTACTGACAGGTGAAGTGAATAACATTATATTGTTAAAATAGCACATGTCAAGGCAGCAGGTAAACAGTTAGTTCTTGAATTTCATTTGCTGGAAAGCAGCAAAAATAGGCAAGCGAGTAGATTTGGGTGACAAGGGCCAAATAGTAATGGCAAGGCGAGTGGGTTTACAAAAAGCTCAATTTGGCCTCCAAATTCCCCAGATCCCAATCCAATTAAGCATTTATGGGATGTGCTGGACCGACAAATCTGATTCATAGAGGCCCCACCTTGTTTCTTGCAAAACTTCTGCTGCTATTGTCTTGGTGCCAGATACCATAGGACACGTAAAGAGGTCTCATGGAGCTCTTTTGGCAGAAAGAGGTGGACCTACATGATATTAGGCAGGTGGTTTTCATGTCGTGGCTGATGAGTGTATCTATATAGTGTATCTTTTCAAATGAACGATATGTGCCTTTATTGCTTTAAGGTCTGTGCTGCTGTTCCGAACTAGCTGTAGTGGCTTGACATTAATGCAGCCTTCACGTGCTATCAGAATTATCGTAAATATGAGTTTCCTAGTCAGAAATTGGAAATGAATGGCCTCTCTAGTCGTATTTACAACTGGGAAACTATAAGATACCTGTGGTTCCGAGTTGATTATTTTATTTTAAGATAATTATTTCATTCTTTTATTTTAAGATAATTTTGAAACCCGTGGTTCCAAGTTGGGCGAGCCATACACTTTAAATATGCGGAGGAGAGAAACGTAGCAGTAGTACTGTGAAGTTTTATTTGTTTTTCTCACAACATCTACATTTCTTTCTCCTGCCATTACAGTCACGTATATTTACGTATATAAATAACCATTTGATGCATAATGTATGTATTGAACACAGTAAAAAATAGCATTTATTTGACCAAAATTTAGGAATTGTCATCCAGTTAGCGCTAGATAGCGCTGTAAATATTTATATGGTTACCAATAAATGGGACGCTACATTTTATTCAAAACCTGTTGGATATTGACTAAATATCTTCTAATCTATACCTTTTAGCTTTAATAAGATTGCCCCAAGAAACAGGCAAGAATGAATAGGCTGTTCACCATGATTTCTGTTCTTTCCGACAGCAAAGCACTTACAAACTCATAATTACAACTGCAGAAGTGGGAAGTAGGAAGTTTCCGTGAAGGCAGCATTACCGTAATTAGACAAAATATTTATCAAATTATCAGAATTATTGACCACATCCTCCAGAAGTCACATGCATGTATGCTTCAGTAAAAATGTTTAACATTTAATATTTTTCCAAATTATGCACATGCATTGCACTTGTAATATTCAGAAAATAAATTTATTGGTTAGCTTTTACAGCTTTGTACACTGCGTATGTGACATTACAACTGATTACAATCAGTTATCTTGAGTCACTTGCTCATTGCCAATTATTTTATATTTGATGGTGTTCCAGTCAAACATGTTTCCCTTGACATATGTTTCCTGGTTTGAATAAACCGCCTTAATCTGAATGCTGGCGAGAACATAATTCCACATGTGCACATCTGTAATTTCTCCTACAAAGCTTTGACCTGCGTCAAAGCCACCCACAAATGCATCAGCGTCTTGGCCGAGCAGGACAATGCCACCAGGACGAATTGAGTGACCTTTTCTATACACCTGGAACAAACTGCGACATCCATCCACCCAGAAAGCAGTAAGACCAGTTGCAGTGTCCCAGGAGATGCACAGGTGTGTCTGGAAGGTGGAGAGAGGAGGCAGACGGAAAAATGCTGCATCGTCACTAGATCTAATATACAAGGACAAACGGCCATCAGACTCTCCACAAGTTCAGCTCATCGCCATTAATCGTGTGGTAGGCGAACAGAATGATCTCCCTCTCGCCCTGGAGCTCCGTCGTAACCCGCATGCAGAGAGTAAATGCTGTAAGACACAGTGGCTTTTCAGGAATGAGTTTAACAACTGGTATCAGTCTCAGTTGGAAACAAAAGCACTTTACCACCAAGACCCACTGCAAAAAAAAAAAAAGAAAAGAAAGGGGGATGAGGAAAAATCCCACTCGCGTTAATCAGTGATCTATTAATGAAAATGTGGTACCTTCAGTAGCCGCTGGTGTCAGAGAGAGCAGACAGAAAAATAAAACCACTGGCACCGACATCTTGCTACAGGTCTGAATGAAAAAGAGCTAGAAGAGTCATAAAATGATTTTAACCGTTTAACAGTTGTTTAAATAAGTAAAAAAAAAAAAACATTACTCCTAGTTTAGTAGATCAATTCTTCGCTGTGTCATTGTTACATTAAATCACATTTAATTAAGCATGAAAGCACTACATCACTTTAAAAGATGTATTACACAAGTATTCAGTGTTCTTTCATCTGAAAGAAGATCAGTTGACCTCAGCTATTTGCCTCCTAGATGGTCATAATCAGAAGGGTCTCCAGTATTTAAATGCATTAGTTGTAGGATATCAGACCGAATCAGACAATCTAAGATTTGGTCAAAACATGGTTGAAACATGAGAAGCCGAATTCCACAGGGGCCCAAGACAACAGGATGTCGTAAATCAGATCCTGGCCCCAAGCCTGAACCAACTAGCAGCTTTGAGTAGCTCACAGCATTTAAACAGAAGAACACTTATTGACAATTCCAAGGAGATTGTCAATTTTGGGGCAAGTAATGGTGGAGTTCCCTTTAAAATCTTAAATGATTCCCTTTGAGCTAAAAATTATCACTGTTTCCCTTACATAGTGATTAAGCTCAGATCCAGGAATGATCCTCCTCACTGTCTTTTTAACATGCAGTGACATGCTGAACTTCATAAACGTTATGGAGCATGTATAGAATTCAGATCACATGTATCAAGAGGTATAGACCTTATTCAGGTTATTGAACTGAAGGTCTGTTGTGCACCGTTCACGTATCTACTCGGGTGCTCAAGTTCAAGGCGGCAGTCCAACCAGTGAATCTAATCAATATGCAGGCAAAAGTTCACTTAACTTACATCAATGCGTTTTTAGTTCATTGAATGAAAATGGGGTGCATAGCAGAACAGAAATATTAGAAAGGGCAACATATAGCCCTATATATATATATAACTATATAATATATAGTGTTTAAAAAGTATGTACATTAACATGTACATTAAGCATAGACTGTATAAAAACATGGATGTAGTGTCCGTGACGTCACCTGTAGTTTTCCGAAGAGCGTTTTTGAAGCTCAAATTGGGTGGAGCTGGCCCGTCGCTATCTTGGCAGCGCGTCACCGCGCGTCACTCCCGGGTAATCGAAAATGGGCAAAGAGGCGGGAGATGGTTGCGGAAACCACACCCACCTAGCTCGACGAATTAGCTATATAGACCAAAATCACTTTTTTAACCAGGCTGTAAACATGTTTTTTTCTGCTGTAAAGTTGGGCATTTTAACATGATATATATATAACTATATAATATATAGTGTTTAAAAAGTATGTACATTAACATGTACATTAAGCATAGACTGTATAAAAACATGGATGTAGTGTCCGTGACGTCACCTGTAGTTTTCCGAAGAGCGTTTTTGAAGCTCAAATTGGGTGGAGCTGGCCCGTCGCTATCTTGGCAGCGCGTCACCGCGCGTCACTCCCGGGTAATCGAAAATGGGCAAAGAGGCGGGAGATGGTTGCGGAAACCACACCCACCTAGCTCGACGGTGGTGACAGCAGCGGCAATAGCCTCTAGCGGCCAGTTGATGAATTACAGTTTAAGTCACTTACGTGTTGGCTTCACGAGAGAGAGTGGGAGATTGCCGCTTGACATTAAGGCCCAATCCCAATTCTACCCCTTAGCCCTTCCCCTAATAATGAAGATTTCTGTGCCACCCCAGACTGGTTGAAAACACCCAATGAAAACATCCTGGCTCCGCCACTGCTGTAAATCCATTTATCCTTTGCTGAAACTTCCGCGTCTTCATGGAGAGCGCAGGTCATGGTTGCTTAGCAGTGGCAGACGCCTCCGGAGCGCAAGCGCCCGAACGCTTTGGAAAAAAGCAGAAAGCGGCACGCCTAGCGTTTTCCACGCGTTTATAGGAGCGACATGTGAACGGCCCCTTAATCTGACTGCTGGAGAGAACATGATCCCACATGTGCACATCTGTAATTTCTCCTACAAAACACTGATCCCGGTAAAAAGTGCTCACATATGCATCAGGATCCTGGCCGAGCAGGATGGTGCCCCCAGGACGAATTGAGTGACCTTTTCTATAGATCTTGAACAAATTGCGACGTCCATCCACCCAGAAGGCAGAAAGTCCAGTCGCAGAGTCCCAGGTGACGAAACAGATGAGTCTGGAAGGTGGAGAGAGGAGGCAGACTGAAAAGTGCTCCACTAGACTGAATATACAAAGACAAAGACCATCTTTCTCTCTCCACACGTTGAGTTTATCAACCTCGGGCGTGCGGTAGGCGAACAGAACAATTTCCCTCCAGCTTGCCTCCATTGCACCCTGCATGCACAGAGTAAACGCTGAAAGACTCAGTGGCTTTTCAGGAGTGAGTTCGACAAAGCTGGTGTTAGTCTTGGTTGGAAACAGAAGCACTTTACCACCGAGACCCACTGCAAGACAAAACCACAATAAACAAATGCATCCATGATGAACAAAATCCTACTCATGAAAATCCATGTGATCTATTAATAAAACACGGTACCTTCAGTAGCCGCTGGTGTCAGAGAGAGCAGACAGAAAAATAAAACCAACATCTTGCTGCAGGTCTGAAGAAGAATAAAATGAGTGCACTGTTTGTATAAATACGCTCGCCAGCAAGTAGGACTGGATTTAAATAATGAAATAAAGAAATTCTATCCTCTGACTGGTAAACATTAGACCTAGTTCAGTAGATCAATTCTCAATCAATGCCTCAGTGTCATATTAAATCACACAATTTATAAGCATTAAAGTAGTTATTTTTCAGAAGTCAAAGACAGAAAGTTAATACAATGTTTAAGCAGGTCTAATCTGAGAGAAGAGCTGCTTGATAGTCGTGAACTGGAAGGTCTTGAGTATTGAAATGCTGCAGGGATTGAGCTCAGACTGAAGAATGATCCTCCCCACCATCTTTTCTAACATGCAGCGACTCGCTAAACATCATAAACAACATTTTTCAAATTCACTGTCGTTTTTATAGACTCATTTCATGAGAGATTCTATAGAATGTGTACTTTTATACATAACTATAAAATGACATACTGAAGGCCTATTTAAATTAACTACATAAAAGGTAATTAAAATATTGAAATACTTTGAAGAAATGTGTCACTGTACAGTCAAATAAAACTTAATGTTCCAAAGATATTTCGGTTGTTTTTTTTTTACATTATAATAATAACAATAACATTTTCCAGTGTTTGGACTCCATATACTCTTCAGACCAAAGAAATCATGTTTTATTAACATTTTTTGAAAAATACCCAGATAAAAAAT